CCGGCCCTTGGAGGGGGCCCTGCCCCCGGGCGCGCAGCCCTTGGGGGGGGCGCGCAGCCCGGGGGGGGGGCCCGCCCCCAGGCGCACAAGTGTCCCCGCCCTCTGGCAAACGGCCGTGCCCCCTGGCGCCCGACAACCTCAAAAGGTTGGGGACCACTGCTCTGTATCAAGGATACTTCTAGATTCAAATAACCGGTCAATGGCTTCAGTTGTGTATACTCCACTTAATATTTGAATGTATGGTAAGCAGTAGGAGCTGTACGCATTTCAAGGTCTCATATAGTCAGTTATTTTATTACTCTGATATATGTGAATTTTAGTTCAGCTTTCATGTTTTGCTTATTTCTCCCTAAGTTATTTCTAGTCCTTATAACAGCAAAAATTGGCTTGAGAAATGAACTGGGTGTAAATCAGGGGTGGGCACATTATGGCCTGAGAGTCAAATCTGGCTTGTCACGTCGTTTGATGTGGCCCACTTTGGCAAGGGGCACAGGGAGCATGCAAAATCTCTAGCCTCCACCCCCAGGCACCTTAGGGGTGGGGTAGCATAAGGAGCCTGCTCTCTCCCTTCCCCCAGTACCAGGGGCATGTGGCACATAGATGGAGCCGCAGGCTGTTCAAAACGACTAGCGGTTCCTTCTACCTGCTGCCTGCTCCCAGGCCAATCATTGCAGCTGGGGACAAAGGAGCATGTGAAGTCTCCTGTTCCCCACCAAGGGCGCGCAGCCCATAGATGGAGCTATGAGCTGTTCAAAACAGCTGGTGGTTCTCTGTGCAACCCTGGTGGGGGCGAGAGAGTTTGTGCACTCCCCTGCCCCCAGCTGCAACGATTGGCCTGGGGACAGGGAAGCATGCAAAATCTCCTTCTTACACCCTTCCCCCTAGGGATGATAAATGTAGTTTAATACAACTAATTGACTAGTCAGGGCTGGGACAGGGGTTCAGGTATAGTTTATTGGCTTATTCACTAGGGATTCATCTACACAGCAGGGCTTGACTTGAAATAAGGCACGCAAATTGAGCTATGTCAATTGCATAGCTTATTTTGAAATTGGGAGCATCTACATGGCACTTATTTCGAAACAGAGCACTCTTCCTCCAACGTCCCTTACTCCTCGTACAATGAGGGTTACAGGAGCTGGAGTAAGAATTCCTCCAGCTTGACAGTATTTCGACATTATTTCAAAATAACTGCCTGCTGTGTAGACGTGGACTAAGTCATTTCAGAATGCTAGTTATTTCGAAATAATGTTGCTGTGTAGACATATCTTAGGAAATTATTTTCCCAATATAAAATTAATCACTGTCATAGGCTTGAACACCCCTCAGAATATATATTGTAAACTGCTTTTTTATATAAAATACCAAATAGTATAATTTTAAATCTATTCTTTTTTAAATACAGGAACTGGCCAACAGCTATATGAATGTCCAATATGTGGTCTTGTCTGTGCAAACTATCAGATTCTCCAGGAACATGTTGACTTGCACTTAGAAGAGCACCACTTTTCACAAGGTACATGGACAGATTAAAACTTGGGATTGGTAAACAGTATTTTAAATTAGTTGTACTGTACCACTTTTATATTTATGGGTACCAAATAAAAAAAAAAGAACTTAAGTATTTGTCTAGGTTTGTAATAGAAAAATTGTTACTTAACTTTATTAGGGATATGTCACTATCAACTCTGTAGTTAAATAGTGAGAAGTAAAACCCTGCAATTTCCTTGTGACACTTCACTTTCTCAAACTACACTTACAGCAAGCCATCACAGTTGAATTTTTTATGCAAATACTAAACCAGGGGTGGTCAATTTTTTGATGGGGGGGCACTCCAAGATTATGGTAGATGGTCAAGGACCACACCTATCTATGGAGGGGATGCAGGGTCTGGGATGGGAGTTAGGTGCAGAAGGGAGCTCAGAGTAGGGGACTGGAGTGCAGGAGAGGATGTGGGATCTGAGAGGGAGTTTAGGTGAAAGAGGGGTTGTGACCTTGGGCAGGGTATCGAGGTGCAGGGTCCGGCAGGGGTCCGGGATGGGTATGGATGCAGGAGTGTATTCTGGCATGGAGGACAGATTTAGGAGTGGGTTCAGTGTCTGGGAGTTGTGCCCTGGAGTCACAACTCCAGAGGATTTGAGTGATTGTCAGGGGCAAGGATTTGGAGTGTAGGACTCAGGAGGGGGTATGCGTGCAGGAGAGGATTCTGGCCTGGGGGAAGGGGTGTGAGGAGGAGATGTAGGGTATGGGAGGGAGCTGGGAAGGATGCCAGAGGCATGCTCTGGCTGGGAGGCACTTATATAAACAGCTCCTGGCCAGAGCTCCTCCCTGCCTGCCTACAGCTCCCATCTGGCTGCTCCATGTGGCTCTCTGCTAGGAAGAGGGCAGGGAACTGCTTCCGCCCCTACCAAATTTCAGATACAAAAGATGTGAATATTTACAAGTACTGCTTGTCAGGTAACAGTGCCCATAATCCTCCACAGCATCAGAACCCACTTACGCCACTTGTATTTAAAGTTTTAGTTAACTTACTAGAATAGAATTCCTGCCCCAAAAGAGTTAATCTGCGGTTAAGTTCACTCAAATGTATTTTTTGTCAAGGCAATCACTTAAAAACAAGAAAACGCTGGTTAACTTCCAGACTAATTCAGTTAATAATTTGGCTTTATCATAATACAATCCATAAATGCCTTACAAGAGTCCTTTAAATTTCAATATACAGCTGCCCAGCTCATATCCATCCAGGTCCTCAAAACTGAGTTCTGCACACAAACTTATGTCTGCCTTAATTCTTTTGTTGTAAGTATAAAGAATGCAAATGTTTTAATCTTACAATTCATCTTTTCATCTTCTGACCAGCTATGCATATGCAAACATATTGCTATATATCAATATTTTTATGTCAGTCTATTGAAAACTGTGTGTATCTTTTCTATTGTTATGATACCAATAGGTATAAATGTAAGTGGATTAAGTGATCTGGAACTGGCTCAGCAGCTCCAAAATGAAGAAGACAAACAGCAAGAACTAGAAGAAGCTAGACGAGAAAGAGAGGAATTCCAAAAACTGCAGGTACTGTAAATGTTTTCCATGCCATCCAAATAGTAACACTGAAAAATTTGGCAACCACAAATTGTGTATCTTGGAGTTTGTTTTTGTATTCTCAGTTTAGTTCTTCACCTCATTCTGTTTGTATCTTGCTGTTCACTATGCTTCACTTTGTTTGCCTGCTAACTTCCTATGATTTACAATTTGCAACAATTTAGTAATAACAGACTGAAAAACAACTAATATTTTAATAACTTCGTATTATAATTCAGATTATTTGGTTAAAGTGAGACTTGGAACCCTTATCCGTGGGTGATAAAAATGTTTTGTTTGGCATAGATACATATCTCTGTGATAAATATTATGCAGGCACAGTTGAACTGGGTATGATTAAACTTGGTAATATCCCAGATGTGTGCAGCACATTTTATACCATGTGAAGACACAATTCATACTTTTCTTTTGATCTAAGAGACTATTATAATAGGTGACTAGTAATAAGGTACTGTGTATCTAACTCAAGAAACTGCAGTCAAGCAGTTATATCCTCAGGAAATCATAATTCATTGCTTCAGTCACTGCTGTATCACCATTAATAATTTTTTGACAAATGACATTTCAGTATATAAAAAGAAAAAGTTAAATTGTGTTTTGATTGGATGAATGACCTTTGCCAGAATCTCTCCACACAATAATAAGCTGGGAAAAGTTTCTGTTAGGAAGCCTCTAATTTTAGTGCCATGATGCAACTCGGAGCTGTCTTTGTGGAAAGGCAGTGTGGTCTGCAGAAATGGGCTTGGGGTTGAGAATCAGGAGGTACTGGGTTCTAAATTTAGCTTTGCCAGTGACTTGATGTGTGGCATTTGGGAAGGTTATTTTCCCTAACGGCAAAATATGAATCTTCTCCCCAAGGATGTTACAAGAATTATTTAGCTTCAGGGGTAGCCAAGTTAGTCTATATACAGGATAAACTTAAACAACAAATGGTCTGGTAGCACTTTATAGACTAACAAAACATGTAGATGGTATCATGAGCTTTCCTGGGCACAGCCCACTTCTTCAGATGACCTGAGTTGTATTTCAGTTAATATCTGTACCGTGCTTTGATTAATCAAAGCACTAGATATATGTTAAGTATTTTATTTGCATTAAATAGCTATGTCATCTCTGGCTATAGTCACTGTTACATAATGAAGTATGAATATAAAATTAATATTTTGATAATAGAAGTTTAAAAGATTCAAATTCAGTAAGAACTTCATAAAAAGGGCTTTATTAATTTAAATTAATGTAAAAATTCCAGTAGCCATCAGCATTCCCTCTGTTTCCCATGCAAATGCAGAATGAACTTTGTTACGTGTTTCACACATCACCTCCACACGGGCGTACATAACAAAATTTGTGTGCCAGGGATGTGGTCAAAGGGTTTGGAGTGTGGGAGAGGGCTCAGGGCTGGGGGGGGGGGGCCAGTGCTGCAGTTTGGAGGGCAGGATCTACAGACTCTGGGTTGGGGACAGAAATGAGGGGCTCAGGGCTAGTGAAGGAGTGTTTTCAGCTGGGAGTATGGGCTCTGGATTGGGTCCAGGGAGGGGGTTTGTGATGTAGGCTGTCCTGGGGCTATGGCAGGGGGAGAGGTGCTCTCTCCCTGCTGCAGCATATGGCATAGTGCTCTCTCCCTGCTGCAGCAGCTGTGGAGCTGTGGCCTGGGATAGGCATCTCTCCCTGCTACATCCCTAAGTACCTTTGCACCATTTAATAGGCTGCTGTGAAGCTGTGTACCATGGCAAGAACTTAGGTAGCAATGTTCATAAGTTACAACTTGTTTTTGTATGGTAGAGTAGCCACCAAACACTTTCCTCATAAAAGTACTTTCTGTCAGACTGCTGTTGTTAGTTCTAGCTTGATATAGCTGTAGTAGAGTATAAAATTCCAAGTGACATAATCAGTTCCATGTTTAGACCCATCTGAAATGACTGTTAATATATTTGCTCAGAAGAATACTTGTTATTAATATTCTTTTTGTTTTTGTATGGTAGAGTAGCCACCAAACACTTTCCTCATAAAAGTACTTTCTGTCAGACTGCTGTTGTTAGTTCTAGCTTGATATAGCTGTAGTAGAGTATAAAATTCCAAGTGACATAATCAGTTCCATGTTTAGACCCATCTGAAATGACTGTTAATATATTTGCTCAGAAGAATACTTGTTATTAATATTCTTTTTATT